CTGAGATGTGTTAAGTGGTAGAACAGCAACAAGTGATGGAAACAGCTTTCTTCTGAGGAACGCAACTGACTTGTTATGGATAGTCAGGAAAAAGTCTCCTTTGTTCTGGAAAGTCTGGAAACTCCTTTCACAGCGGCAATGAGCTGGGCCTTACATATCCCCAACTCCTGCAGTATTTATGTTAAAATTATCTTTGAACACTACGAAAGGAAGGTTGGCACCAAGCCCGATGAGCGCCGAAGGCTGAGGTGGAAAATGTTTTATTCAGAAATTGTCCATCCTTGAATACCGCAAGTGCGGTGTTCGTAATGCCCCAGGAAGTCAATAAATCTCGATGTTTTCGCAGTTTGTAATTTGCAGAGGTTACTATTGGGATTCAGGACCACGGGATCTGTGTTGATACTTAGTCACTGCGCAGAACTTGAAGTGTGAATTATTTGGATTTATGGCAGCTATGATGACATCAATAACACCAAAAGAGATTTAGTCTAGCACAAGCACTAGAACTGTCTTCATCTGTCATACAAGGACAGGATCTTTAATATTGTAGCTTACTTTCTTATGGGGTGATACTCAAAGGCTGACCTCCTAGAACATTAACGCAAAACATCTAGATGAGTGAAGAATATGCCAACCTTAAATGTATTCAGTACTGTAACACTGAACAGTAAGAGGATTTAAATGCATTTCATTCCTGCAGGAAATTCATTAAATTTGATGTAGGAGTTGAAGTTAAGAATGATCAGGAGATTTTCAGTCTGTTTTTTTTTTTTTTGCTTCTGCTTTTAATTATAGCCATCTGTTGTTCTTGTCTCGCTGAAGCAGTGTCTGATGAAGTAAAATATTTTGGGCACATTAGAATCACGCTGTGTCATCTGGGAGCGTCTGCTCAGTAAAAGTCATTTGACTTTGAAATACAGGATCCCCAGTGGGAATCGTGGCGTTTTGACTGACATTGCTTTTAATCAGCGCCATTTGCCCAAAATGTGCTACTGTTAACCGCCATAAATTTGTAGTTTTAATAAGCCACACTGGAAGATGTTCAGGGGCCTTAGTAGCCCGATAACATTAATGAGGCATTGAAAAGACCGATCAGTCCAGCGGTAAAGCTCACAGAACTGACTCTGCACAACTAAAGAAAATCAAATGGAACTGAACACCACAGCCACATGGACAGCATCTTATCTGAAGGTTGTCCGGTCAGCAGACAGAAGACTCGAGTCTCCCGGGTGCTGTTTCTCGGGAATTGTCCCGCACATCTGTCTGGGGAAGTCGTACTCAACCCTCAGCTCGCACGATAAAGTGTGTGTCGCATTGCCATCCAGCCCGTGGCTTAAGCTAAAACCCTGCATGCACAAGCTGCGATAAGGTTTCCCACTTGGATTTGACTTGCCGCGGTATTTCTGCTTGCTTTCTCTTCAGTCCTGAGCTTGTCTGCTGCTTTGTCACGGTGCCCCACACTGTCGTACGTAACCGGAGCTGGAACGCACCCCTGCATTTCCAGCGGCGGGCTTGACTTCACCAGGAGGGGCTTTTCTGACTCTCCCCCCCTCCGCAGGTACTTCGACTCGGTGGACATCTGCAAGATCCACTCGGACTGGCAGGAGGTGCGACTGCAGGGCTGCTTCCCGAGCCGGGCCTGCGGGCCGGTGACGGTGACGGCGCTGACGGTGCTGGAGCGGACCGCCCTGGAGTTCGCCCTCTTCCAGGAGGGCAGCAGGTAGGGGGCGGCGGGAAGGAGAGGCGAGGGACCTTCTGAGGAACTTGCTAACTTTTGGATCCGGAGCCAAATAAGCTTCCCATGTTCTCCGTTTGCGTGGTTTCCTGGATCTGGATACTTCATTGAGAAGGCGGGAAGGGGGAGATCAGACTCCTCCTGTCCCTCCCTGCGTCGTGGAGGCTAAAGAAGTTAATAACAGGAGTTCGATAAGCCGGGGAAGAACTTGACAAATGCCCGCATATGTGCAAAGTGTCGTTTCCACATCTGTATACTGTATACACTCACAAAAGATCATCTGCTGCTGTATCCAGACGTTTGGGCACCCCTGGTCCAATGGCATGTTTCCCTCAATCTCGAACTGAGATTGAACACCTCTGCAGGGCGCACGCTTAAACGTGACATCTCTCTGCGTGTTTTGATGCACAATGACTATTTGCTTGCAGAATTGACAAAAAAAAATCAAACGGAGCGTGTTTTGTTTTTCACGGAGGTGCACCAGAATCTACTCTGGAAAAAGTTCCCTGTTGTCAGGGCGATGAGCACCCTGGCGTGGGCTGTGCACCGATGGCCCGGGGGTCCTTCTGGTGCCTGAGGCTGAGACCGTGTCCCTGTGTTTGTGCGTGCGTGTGTGTGTGTGTGCTCTCCAGGCGCTCCGACACGGCCGACAGTCACCTCCTGGACCTGTGCATCATGGTGTTCCGGGCTTCGTTCGGCACCGGGAACAAGCTGACCCTGGGCCGGCTGCTGTCGCACAGCAAGCGCGCCGTGAAGAAGTTCGTGGGCTGCGACGTGATGCTGGAGCCCGGAGAGTACGCCGTGGTCTGCTGCGCCTTCAACCACTGGCAGACCAGCCCGACCGGCGCCCCGCTCACTCCTGGTGAGGAACTTAGCCAGCAGCCGCATCCCCCTGCAGCTCCCAGCTGGCAGCCCACTGGAGCTCCGCAGGCGGGAGCCTGGCCGGTATCTGTGGATGGGAGACCTCCTGGGAAAAACTAAGGTTGCTGCTGGAAGAGGTGTTAGTGAGGCCAGCAGGGGGCGCTCACCCTGCGGTCCATGTGGGTCCTAATGCCCCAGTATAGTGACGGGGACACTATACTGTAAACAGGCGCCATCCTTCGGATGAGACGTAAAACCGAGGACCTGACTCTCTGTGGTCATTAAAAACCCCAGAGTGTTTCTCAAAAAGAAGTGTTTCTCGAAACGAGTAGGGGTGTCACCACAGCGTCCTGGCCATATTTCCCCCTGGCCTTAACCAGTCATGGCCTCCTAATAATCCCCATCTATTAATTGGCTTCATGACTTTGTTTTCCTCCCCACTGAGAGCTGGTGTGTGTGTGTCGCATCATCCAGGTGGGGCTACACATTGGTGGTGGTAGTGGGATTCCCCATTACCTGTAAAGAGCTTTGAGTGGAGTGTCCAGAAAAGTGCTTTATAAGTGTAAGGTTTATTATTATTATTATTATTATTGAACTGTACGCTCACTTCATTTTCCTGGCTGACACTGTAAACTCCAGCTTCACCTGCTGTAAAGTTCCTGTCTTCTCTACCAAAACATAATGAAGAAGCCCAAAGAAATGAACAATTTGAAGATATTCCATTTTTAAAGCCAGACCACATTGAATTAGGACTGCCTAAGGACACACTGCCTCTTTCTATACAATGTTGAAATGGGGAGTAGGATTTTATTTGTTTTTCAGTTGAAAGGGTTGTCACACAACCCTTGCGGTTGAACCCTGAAAGAATGTCGCACACCGCCGAACCTGTTCAACGTCCACCCCCTTTCCCAGAGGAGCTCTGACCCCGGTTCCCTCTTCTTTTGTGGCTGCAGTGTCCAGCCCCACCAGCAGTGTCCGCCCCAGCCAGGACTTCCCAGGGCACATCCTGGCCATCTACAGCTCCCGGCAGGTCATGGTGGAGCAGGTCGACGCCATGGCAACGACCCTAGCTGACGCCATCATCCACCTGACTGAAAACAAGGGGGAGAGGCATGAGGTGAGAGGGAGGAGCTGAACGAGCTGCTCGTTACATTTTGTGTTGTGCAGTCATGACTACGGTTTGTGTTATGGAGTGAAGCAATATTAGAGTATAAGTACAGAAAGGATTCTAGAGGCTTGTTTTTCTTGTCTCAAGTAGAACAAAGCTTAAGGGGCAGAGAGATCTCTGACTAGATGGGTTTAATCTGTCTCTTTTTGTGATCGCCCCCTGCAGGGCCGGGAGGGTATGACATGCTACTACCTGACACACGGCTGGGCAGGGCTGATTGTTGTGGTAGAGAATCGGCATCCCAAGTACTACCTCCACGTGTCCTGCGACTGCACTGACAGCTTCAACGTGGTGTCGACGCGGGGCAGCCTGAAAACTATCGACAGCGTCCCACCACTGCACAGGTACCGAGTAGCACCTGCTGTGCCGAGCGGAGTCTGTGACGCCCTTAGTTTTGTTTCCAATAAATAATCCGGGCATCTACCAACATGGAAAATGAAAAAGAGGTGTTCAAGGCAAGCCGAAAGAACGGAGATTTTCAAGTACAGATATGCCAGAACTGGAAATTTTTATGATTATGATTTATACAGTTGTGGCGACGTTTGAAAAGTATTTTAGCAAAGATCGGATGAGAAAGTCTTTCAGGGTTCCTTAGATGGATGGTAACAAGGAATTATTAGTTCAGTATCACAAGTAACATACTTAACTACAAAAAAATAAATTACACAGAGAATACTTCACATAGAATTCCACACACTGAAAACAAGCACAATGGCTGCTCCTCATAACCCTTCCAGTGTCTGTTTCCAGTGAGCCTGCTGCCAGCGTTAGCCCGGTGCGTGGCAGCTTGGTTGCAGGCATCATCCGCCTGCGTCCTGGGCTCTCCTGGACGACCAGGCCGCGGCAAGTCCTTATGCTCATTTTCTTCTGCCCCCCCCCGCAGGCAGGTGCTGGTGGTCCTGTCCCAGCTGGAGGGCAACGCCGGCTTCTCCATCACGCACAGGCTGGCCCACCGCAAGGCCGCGCAGGCCTCGCTGGGAGACTGGACGCCCGCCAAGGCCACGCACAGCCCCCCGCTGACCCCCGACACCGACGGGCTGCACCGCCCGCGGCCGCTATGACGACGGCTTCCCGCACGGGGCGGGGGGGGCGCATCCTGTAGAATCTCACCTTTTCTAGGAAAGAACCCTTTTATACTCCGCGGGACGAATCCGAAGAGCAGCACTTTTTGTCGGCTTTTTGTTTTTAACAGAGAGACTGGTCCTGCCAAATATTTTTGTGGGGGCGCTTTGCACTTTTTTTTACGTGCCGTGTCAGAGCAGCTGAGGCAGGGGGGGGGGGGGGGGGGGGGCGTGCGAGATGACGCCGAAGCTTCCGGGGAGCAGAGAAGACGCACAGACCAGGGGTGATCACCCCCCCCCGCCACCGTCCCCTCACCCAGACTGCGCTCACCTGCGACAGATCAGACAGGCAAGGTGGCTTATCTGGCGATTCCAGGGCGGAGCGTTGCAAAACGGTTGATGTCGGCTCCATTCCAGCTTCTCCCAGTGGCTTGACGGGATCGGGAGATCGGAGGATCAGCGGATCAGCGGATCGGCGGATCAAGGGATCATGCCAACCACCGAGCCCGCATTTGCATTGTCGTGCTGCCCCTTTGACAGAACTGTCACTGCCGCCCCACTCACAAGATGAGCTCTCTGGAGCCACCATCTATGGATCAGTAGCCTGCCTGGGGAATGAGAAGACATGAGAAAGACCGAGTGGATGGGGCCACCCCTTTGAGAGAATCTTAGTGCCGCTACGGAGTTTTTACTGCGCTGCACAGCTGCGGTGGAATATAAGCAAGTCCAGCAGTGCAGCTTTCTGTTCTCATGGTGTTCTGAACCCGTTTGGCACAATTAGAGCCAGATGGATTCATGGGTACAACGTGTTTTTATTGTTTTCACTGTCGAATTCTCAACATAACACACTCTTGCCAAAGAGTGCTTCCTCAGGTTCACAAAACATGCCTGCATTGTTCCTTCACCCACAGATCTCTTAACTCGGTGTGCCTGGGGCTCCCAGTGCGCGCCGAATATCACTGACCGTATATAGTCTTTTAAATGCATAGAAATGCTGGGAGGGCTGCTGTCACTGAGATCTTAAAGATTGTACGTGAAGGACGATAGAGTGGCCAGTGCTTGCATTTCGCAGACTTAATAGCCAAACGCTAATTGGTCATCCAAAGGAAAGAAAAATCCAGATTCTTTCCACTCTTTCTTCAGTCTTGATCAGTAACCTGTGGATCTGTTTTCTTTGTTGCACACTTGTGCTTTTTTCCCCACTATGTAGAATGAGAAACATACTTTGTACGAAAGATACAGTAGTAGTCTTGATGAGATCCTCTACTAGCGAAAGCATGCCGTTTTCGTTTTTCACTGCCTTTTTGCTCTCTGTTTTTTATTTTTGCTGCGATTTGATTTTGGGCTATTTCCAGCTAAACCCCTCCTCTTTGATCCCCAGCCGTCTTTTTTCCTAGAGGCTGTGACTGACTCAAAGGTTGCGAATGTCTTGCTGGGGTTAGAAGTGTTAAGAGGCTGGGGGAAGGTGGTCAGCGAGGTGGAATCCTGCAAGATCACCTGAAGTGCCACAGGCTGGCCTCCTGCGCAGTCGGAGTCACTTCCAAATCCGCACTTGTTTCGAAAGGGTCTCAGTGCACCGTGGAAATAACAGGGGAGACCAGCTGTCTAAATTATACAGTTAAAACTTGTCGAAGAAGACCGTCCGTTACTTTTGGCTGACAGGTTTGAGATAACTGACAGGCGGCTATGACAACTGTTTAATCAAATAAAATGTTCTGTATGCTCAAAGAAATGAGGAGCATGAAAAGTAACACAGAGTGTGCCTGAACCGAGCACAGTGCACTAAGCTTTGTAGTAGAGGGATCAGAATGTTGTCTGCCGGTGTGTTAGATACCGTACAGTATAAACTCTGCCTCTCGAATGGCCTAGCCTTCCTCTGGCTCTGTGAAGCGGTTTGTGTTCTGTTGTGGGTGTTCGACAGCACTTGGTACTCAGAGGAGGGTCATCTTTAAAAGCCTGTCTTAGGGATCCACACCATCGCCCAGTCCAGCTGCTGGGAGCAGAATTGGTAGAGACAGACAGTAGAAAGCTAGGAGGAGAGGAAGAGAGCTTTGTCAGCTACACATAGAAACGCAGGGCTCCTTTCCGTCCTGACATCTTAATGCTCCATCTCCATGTCATTCCCCCTTCCTCTCATATTAACTTCGAACAGTGACGGAGCCTCGTTTCGGGGACCGGTTTGTTAATATTTGATGACTTCAGCGCAGAAAAGCAAAGTGCTCTTTAGGAGTGCCGCCTCAAAGAAAGTCATTTATCTCCAAGGGATTCGGATTAAAGCCACAATGGTATGAAATGGGTTTTAAATTGCTTTAAAAAAATTGATTTTTTTTCTCCCTCCCGTTAACGTTATGGTTTGTCATTTTTCTGTCATTTTAACTTGGCACGTTGTCAAACTGAACGACCTGTTAGCTGTTCTTAAACCCGAGATGAGCTGTAGGAAATCGAGATCCAAGTCTGTGGTTGGCATTGAGCCCCGTCTCAAGCACATGACCGTTTAAGCAGCAGTAAAGTGAAAGGTTCGAGCTGGTTCGTTTTGGGGGGGCTTTTTAAAGCAAAACGGTTTGATAAAACCGGTGTGCAGGATTCCGAATGTTCAGATGAACACCTCTTAATTAATAAATGGATCTAATTATTCACTTAATTGAATCAGGACTTAGGGAGGTAGGGATGTAAAGATCCCTCTCTGAAACCCGCTGAATGTTGGCCCTTCATCACCTCAGATCAAGAGCACCTCCATCCAGAAACTGGGCTTTGAAAGAGAGCTCCTGCACTGACTGTGAAGCGGTCCCTTATCTGAGCTGACTCAGTCAGTCGCCGGTCTCGTGTTTTTAATACAGGCCCTGTCAATCTCGGCTCAGGGAGCTGTTGTCTCTGGGATCAGAGGCGCTGTTTTCTCAGCTGTTTAGGAAATGGTGTTTTCCTGAATCATTATTGGGTCAACATCCAGACATACCCCAGCGCAGGAAGCCCCCTGGAAATAATATCACAAGCCCTGCTGGGCTGTTTTAGAATTTAATATGAAGACACCAGTAAAGTCAGTAAAGCCTTGCGCCCCTTATCCTTTTATTGGTCAACCAAACCGAAAGACATTCTCTCAGTCTGACATCTTAAATGAAGGTTAAATAGATTATTTTGGAAATCGATCTCTTTTCTTTGTAGAAAGCTCTCCAGAGGACACAGCTTATGGAGTCGTCTTTCACTCGGAGGCAGGTTCTGTTCCTAAAAATATCCGGACTGGGAAGCTGCAGCTTCCAGGGCAGAACCTTGGGTTAAAATGTGGACTCAGGGCAGCCACAGAAAAGAAGAAGGATCTTCCTTACCCATTCCACCCCACCCCACCCCCACAGCAAAACACGAGCAAGAGTGTCGTTAGAGTCCTGGCAGAACACAACCGCGTCTGTTGAACGTTGGCTTGGGCTAGTGATCTAGAGAATGAAGATTAAAATGGAATAAAGAAAGAGTTTCTTGTCAAGGAAACTAAACCTATTAATAAGTAAACATCGCCAGGACAGATCAAAAGTATCCCCTGACTGGGAGGGTGTCATTATCTGGCCTGAAGCAGTACTGATAATGTGACTGGAACTCCAAAGCACACTTCAGACGTTTTAAATAAAAAAGATGTTTTCTTTTATCAGCTGACAGTGCTAAGACTCTGTCTTGCTCATTGGCTGGGTGTGTGTTACCAACTAAACAGAAAATCTGACTGCTCAAATTGAAAAGCTGGCATTATTTATAGGAAGGCCCTGAGAGACTTCTGCTCCTGGCTTTTTTGTTCTCGGAAACATAACCATCACCTCATTTTCTTTTTTGCCGATAAAAATGTTACACTGTCCCTGTAGCATACATGTCTTTGGGCTCACCAGCTGTCCATTTTCATTCATGAATATTTATATCAGAGAAAAGCACAAGAAAACTACTGTTTCCTGTCTTCATCAAGCTAACATGCTAAACGTGTGTATTTGTTCTTTTTTCTGATGTGTAAGGTTGGACGTCTACCCACTGGGGAGTTAAAAGATTAAATGCAAGGGGAGACATTTTTTAAAAGCTGAAGAAACTGGTTGTTTCAGAACTCTGCATAAAGCAGCTGGGTGAAATTTGTCCACCAACAAGCCCTTTAAAAACATCTCCAGTGAATAGAAGCCTGTTACAAACTACCCTTTAAGTAAGACGTACACCCCTGATTTCTGTGGAGAATGTCCAGTGACTGTGTCTTCTCAAGCTGCAGGTTCCGAAGCATGGTTTTCCTCCTTTTTTGTAAGTTGTACAGGCACACTTAATCTTTGCCAAGCTGTGAATAGTTTTATCTTGTAAAATATATAATATAACAAAATCAAAATAAAATGAAACACTATCAGGCAGGAATGTGATATATGGACTATTTTATCAATTTTAGGAAAGAAACAGATCTCTATGTATGTATGGGTAGTTTGCAAACTCAGGTTCTAAAGGACCAAATAAAGTTTTGTTTTTTAATTAAAAAAAATAACTTGGCGTTTTTTTTTTCCAGCGTCGGTACATTGTCTCCAGTTTAATTTGAGTCTCTCTCTCGGGCTCCATTTCAGACTTTCAGTAACTACTTCATTGAGATTGATTTGCCAAAACCTTTTATTTCATGACTTGCCCAATTATTTCCTCCTGTGAGATTCTTGGCCGCAAGGGTGTAAATACAGAGTGTGCCCACTAGAGGGGGCGCTTCTCACTCGAGTTCCACAGGTGGTGAGGAAACGATGTACGGTAGCACAGAAAGATCCCCATCTATTCCCAGAAGTGTCTGTCACACCTCAGCCATCTGGAATCCCTAACCTCCAGGAAAGGGTGGAGGAGGGAGCATCTGGGTATTAATAGAACAGAAAGGGAATTACTGGAGGAACTCTTTGGCTTCGTGCAGGGGATTGTAAATTCAGCCCAGAGAGCTGTCACTCACCTCTACAGTGCCCTGCCCCACAAGCAGCACTTTCTCCGACACCGACAACTCGGCATTCCCACTACAGAACCTGAAAGGTAGGTGGCGGCTTTTTTAAAATCTCTAGTTTGTGGTTCCTTTAAAAAAACAATCCGAGAGACTTCCAGCCTATGGACATCACCATTGTCGTGCTCTTGGTGGGATGCCGACACTATCCTCGGTGTGTTTCCTTGGTGCTTTAGCTGTGGGAGTGTGATGAGGGTAGGTCAAGCTATTCCACAGCCCCCCGCAGTCTTGTGTTTGAGGGCTTTGAGTTTTTACAGGGGGAGAGTGCTCCAGCGCTCCATAAAAGGACTGTTTTTTATGGGAGTGAAGTCAGTCGTGCTGCTGGATCCTTCGTTTCCAAAGCTGAACGCGCAGGGCGATCCCTAGCCCAGCTGCCCGAGGCTCGACTCTCGGTAATCAGTCTGGGATCTCTACAGCCCTGGGAGTCTTGCGATTTTCTTGGCTGTCCTCTTCTTTTGAAAGCTGGCCGCATTGCCCGAACCTTCCAAGTTACAGTTAAGAACTTGACCTCCTCCGTGACTTTGAAATAATTCAATCTTGTTGTGTTCTCGGGGTGCAGTCACGAATCGGCCATTCAGAGCAGGCGAAACTTGGGAGGAGATCCCTTTTGACTTCAAATGTTTCAGTTTGATTGTCATGTGAAAAAATGTACCGTGGATCTAGTGAACAAAAGTTGGATAGCTTGTGACAAATACATTACCAATTGGGCTCCAAGCCCTGATTTGCTGTACCCTATAGTGCAACAATTTGGAAGGTCTTGTGGCTTCTGTTTCCCACTAGACAGCCTTAGAAAGCATGTCAAAGAATTCTGACCCCAGCCCTGCCTGTCATAAATGGGACTGACCTCAGACATCTGAGGATATGCAGATGAATGCTATTTTGTTTGCCGTGCAGTCAAAATAGTTTTCTGAATTTGTTCCCGTTTCTTTTGCGATGGGAGTGAAATCTCTTTTCGGCCTCATTTCGTAAAAGCTTTTTTTTCCCCCAACTGCAAACGTGGTCTGTGCTCCTTTGAGCAATATATCTTAATGATCACACACCAAGCACTTCGCAAAACTGCCTCTTGCTCTGGCTTGCTCCTACAGCGTGGTTTGGTGCTGAGAATGGCCCACAGTCCCGCTGATGTCAGCCCAGTCGAGCCTGGGTTCGGCACCCCGATCCCAGACAGCGTCTACACTGACCGCCTGGGCTTCTTCTCCATGGATGCCAACGTCCCAGGCCTGTCTCGGGTCATCCTGAACAAGCTCAACATGAGAGGCTTTGAGGACTACAGGTACAGGAGACCGAGCGTGTGCGCCGTCAATTGTTTGGCAATGAAACCAAAATTCAAATTAAAAGGTAGACATCAAAACCAAACAAGATATAAGATCCCTTTATTGGCCATATACAATTTCTTGCAGTAGGAATTTGTCTTTTCGCATACCCCAGCTTGCTCTCCATGAGACACACAGACGGGGAGAGAGAAGCTTGGGGTCAGAGCGCAGGGTCAGCTATTGTACAGTGCCCCTGGTGCAGCTGGGGTTAAGGGCGTTGCTCAGGGGCCCAACGGAGTAGGATTCCTCTGCCGGCCATGGGATTTGAACTGGCAACCTTCCAGCCACAGGCGCAGATCCTTAGCCACAGAGCCACTGCTCCGCCCTTAATGCCCAAAATTGTGAGGAAAACCATATTAAGGAGGCTCAATTTAGATTTTAAGCATGTAATTGAAAGGTCATGGCATTCTTGTGAAAGGTTATCTTGATCTTCCTGGTGGTGTCGGCACACCTGTTTAGGACCGGATCAGAAGGGCCTGGCAGGGTGGGCTTTGAACCCGAGTCGATTACCAACCAGTGGTGCGTTTTCCTCCTGGGCCGATTTCCCTCTCCTCCACAGGGCCGCGCTGGAGGGCAAGCCCCTGGGGGCCAGTTTCGGATTCCGCTCCCACAGGGAGATGTTCCAGAGGATGGAGGACACGTTCAAGTTCTGCGCGGCCTGCAGGAAGCTGCCGGCCCACCTGACGGCGGCCCAGGCTCTGAGGCGCTGCAAGAGGTGAGTGGAGGCGGAGGGGGAGACCCTGCGGCACTGAACAGGGGCGGCCACTGAGGCTGGGCCCTTCCGTTCGGGGGATCAGGAGAGGGTCAGGAGGAGAGGACCTCTGCTTCCTTCACGCCTGAACACCCAACCCACCTGCCTTTCTGTCAACATTCGAGACACGACTGGCTCCAGTGAGCTCCCAGCACCCAGAAAGAGCAGGGCGGACTGAAAACATCTCCTCTCGTTTGTCACCTTTGTTATGTGGTGTGTGCTTCGTTCCAGGCCTCCCTCCTGGAAAACGTTTGTTTTGGTCTGGTTACTCCTTCTTCCCAGGGGTCAACAACCTGGGAAGCTCCCGAATCGCGCAGCCAGTGACAGAAAGACGAGCTGTTTCCAGCAATGAAGAATCCTCCTTTAAACTGGACGGTGCCATTCCCATTGCGCTGTTATCGATACAACCCTGCAAGTTATAGGAGCAAATGTCAGACCTCTGTGAACGTTGACCTTCCAGTATGAGCTGAGCATTCGTGCTATGTGACACTTTTATGTTCTTGCGCTGTGCACAATTCATTAGGCAATTTATTCCAGCAACTGCAGGCAAACCTGGGTCTGCTCACCCCTGCTGATGACTGAGCAGCTGCATTTAGGAGCTGGGTTTTAATGAAGGCTGTGTGGCTGTCTGTGTGAGGCCACTTTGATCTGCACACATCTTAAACCCTGCCAGCACCCCTAAAACGTGTCAGCCCTCACAGCTGCCGGCTTTGTTGCTGCAATCCCTCTGCAGAAAAAAAAGCTTTGCAGTGGCAACGGACACCAACCAGGAACGAATCACTTTATCCGGCTCTGTGTGTGTGTCGTCCCGTTCTTGAAAATCGAAACAACCATTAACTTGCCCATTTCCTGGAGGCTGTTAAACAGTTTGGCTTTGGTCTGAGATAGTTGCACTTCGCCACTATCTCACAGTGATCTTCCTAACACGTAGTCTATGGATTCATGGCTAATATAAAGGCAGCTTTCCAAATCCCAGAACACAGCTCTGTAAAATCCCTGGCCAGCACAGTGGAGACAATGGAATTAGGGAGGTCATGTCTCCACTCATCAGCTTGCAAGGGCTCTATGTGGGTTTTTTTTACTTTGTAGTATAATTTGGAAGGACTTTACATTTCAGTTTGCATCACAGGTCTGAAACTCAATTGCCACTGAGTGGGGTTTTTTCTCAACCTGAATGGTCAATCAAACCATTAACCCAATTCTTTTTTTTTTAACTAGACATATATTCAATTTTTCTTGAAGTCTGTTACCGGTGTTCACTCAAAACTCTCATTTCATGAAGGGTAGGGTCTCTACAGTACTGTATGTATTCCTCTGTACAAAAAAACATTTTTAATTACTTCTTATTTGATCACAATGATTTATCCTTAGTGCAAAGCCAGTTTAAAAGCAGTTTTACTACGATATTTAATATTATGCCATGCAGAACTGCTTTAGACAAGATAAGATTACTTTATTGGCCATATACAATTTCTTGTATTAGGAATTTGTCTTTTTGCATACCCCAGCTTGCTCTCCAGGAGACATAGCTCTGAAATCCTAAGGTTCAATACTATGTTATCCTTTTGTTTTAACCAGTTTTTATTAGTTATACATTTTTAACACCGACCAAACCGAGAACAAGACAGCACAGCAGCACCGAGGAATTTATTTCTTCACTTCTCAGCTTAAAGGGACGGTGAGGTATTTTTAACTTTGTAATCTGTTTGGAAAGACTGGCTCCGCATGGGTCTAGTTAGTCACAGGGCTGCTTATTACTTGATGTTTTCGAAATGTAACGGAGCTCCCTGCAGCTTTCATCCGAATGCTTTGTTTCCTTGGGTGCTTTTATCTTTGAATGTCTCTGCGATTTTCCTGATGTGGTGTTTTTGTTTCCCTGTCTGTTTTCATGTCTGTGAGCCCTGATGACAGTAGTGGCAAAGAAGATTTTTTACCTCATTTATTATCTCTATAAATCCCCAATAGAAATATAACATCTTGTTTTCCTGAAGTTTCAACACACAGAGCTGAGTGGGAGCTCAGGTAAATAATCTGCAAACTATTGAATCGAGACAATACAGAGGTTGTATTTGCACAATGCATAATATCAGTATAAATGCCAAAAGTGATTGGAGTTTTTTACCAGTCATTTTTACCACTGTTTAACTTCTTAAAGCAGAGGACTCCAGTCCTGGCTGCTGGAGGAGCACTGCCTGTTGGTTTCCAGTCCATCTGAACTCTGAATCTCCAGAACAAATCGCTGACTTCATTGATCTGCTTGCTTGTTTAGATTTTATTTCACACATAAGTGCTTTGAGAAGCCACCTTTAAAGGCGCTATATACAATACAGTTTTTTATTATTATTATTATAACAATTTTAGCACACAGAACTTTCCACGGCCTCTCCTTTATGAGCTCATCGTTAATTCTGACTCTTTAGAATCGATCAGTTGATAATGAACTGAATGACGCTGTATCTGTCACGCCCACACAGTGGTTTGTCCTTCTGGAGATCTTCCCACTGGGGGCATTTTAGGCCCCCAAAAGGGAGTCCGGAAACTCAGAAGCTGGTCCAGGATTGATTCAAAGGGAATTTGTCATTGGGTCTTTTTAAAAGCTGCGAGCAAGTGTACGACTGAACCTCAAATAGGAAGCTGACATCAATGAGCGTCTGATTAATATTTCAGCTGAAGACGCCGTGCTCCTCCAGGAACAGGGTTTAGAGCATGTGAAAGATGAGACTAGGTGAAGCTGGGAAGCTGTTTGACTCAGGACCGGGTCTGTTTTTTTGCAGACAGGCAGCGGAGGAGCTGTCAGTGCCACCTCAAGCACAGAGCATCAGTCTCTCATTCCCGACCTTCGGTGTGTCAGACCCTTGCGGCAGCCCAGACAGTTCAGCTGCCTCTGCCTCTCACGGGAGACACTTGTAATGCGTTCAGATTACCTACAGGTGTCAGCGTGTGCTTGAATCTCTACCCCACAATTGCTTCTGAATGCTTGGGTGGCAGCAAAGCTTCTGAAGTCCTTTTCTCAGGTTTACTTCTGGATCTCCTCCCAACCTCGTGTTTAACTCTAGATGTATGCGAGCATCCTTTTACATCCACCCCCCCCACAGGAATCTGATTTGGTCCCGGATTGCTGGAGTAGCTCAGCGCAGATCCCGTTGTGTTAAATTTCACTCCAGTCCCCGCTCTGCATTCGCTATGCTGCAGCTCTGACCCAGCACCGGTTTTGTCTTCTTAGTCAGGAAAGTGGCTCCTGGTCTCACGCAGACAGTGAGGCAGGGCGAATGAGGATTGGGGCTCTCGGCATGGTGGCGTGAATTAACAGGCGGCTGCCGAGAGCCGCTAATTCAATCCCTCGGGTGATGGCCGGTCGGCTCCGTGCTGCTGCAGTCCTTCCTGGCTCGCGAGAACGCTGTGTCCGGCTCAGATGTTGGCACAGGCGGCCAGAAAATTCCGAAGCAAGGTCAGGTTTTATGGCACCAGCAGCCCCCGAGAGCAGTGGGATTCCCATGGCGTCAGCAGGGCACTGAGGAAAAGTCACACCAGCGCCTTTTACGATGACAGGCGGTAGTAAAATCGAGTGTTAAGGTTACCCTTAATGTGTGGATTTGAGGCGATAGACCGGTTCAATGATTTTTAACTGCTTTTTGCTTTTTACTAAGTCGATGTGTTGCTAATCCGTATCCAGGAAATACAACCTAAAAAGCATTACATCCATCCAAAAATAAAAAAGTTTGGTCAGTTTAATTTGGTCAGTGGTTATGTATCTATTTAGGCAGCACCCTAGTAACCTAGCTTCACAGCCGAAGCGTTGTTTTTCTTTTCTTCTCTTTTCAGCGTGGAGTAAGCCTTTACTTGCTCCTATTTATGCAGCATGTGTGCAGGCATGCTTTATGTACAGCCCTGGTGTACTGTTATCGGTCCTTCAGGATGAACCAGTTTCTCCCGTTAAAATTCATCGTGAATCTCTAAGGATCTCTAAGAATATTGAAAGTAAAGGTCAAATAAATGGGGCCACGCCTCGTGTCCAGTACTTTATGGATCCCAAATCCTTATCAATTCTCATTTGCAAGCGTCCTAGTATTATTCGGATTTGGAATTGCCAACTGGCAGAATGAAATAGGCTTCATAATCTCTGAGCTGATTGCTCT